TTTGTAATTGTTGTTCTGGAGTTAGATCCAGTTTATTGTTGGAATAAGTTTATTCCTGGAGGTTCCCAAGGCACACCAGTAAGTGTGTACAGGGCCAGCCAGGTGGCGGCACTGCCAATATATGTTCTTTATGAGCAAGGGACAGCAGCAAGGGAGTGGATAGGGTTTCCCCAACTAAACATCACCACCACTGGGCTATTCAGGATCTCCTTTTATGTTAAAACCATCAAGCGCCCCTGTGAGTGTGACCGGCTCCCGAGTAACCTGGGGAGGAAAAAGGGGGTTACACTATAAAATGGGCTTAGTAAGAACAATTGATGGGAGGGCATGGGCAGGACTCACTCACAGGTCCTGCTCGATGTAACTAGAAGTAAATAGGCCCATCACACCGCAACCCAGTGCGTGGTGTTCCAATACGTGGGAAGAAAAGTAACCACGACCTCTTGCCCGATACTGTAGGTAGCAGACAGGTGAAGTGTAAGGGAACTAGGCTTTATTAGTGTATTATAGTAGCTCTTCCATTAATTGCTTTCGCATTGCTTTGAGCTGTATTAATTGCTTTAGAATGTATAGTCATTGTTTTTAAGGCTTGTAAAACTTAAACAATTGTATTAACTGCTTAAACCTTGCAATAAATAAGAAAGTGGTTAAGTATCCCTGGAGCGTCCTGGTTTCCCTTGTATCTAACATAAATTGAACCGCACGGCAGGGCGGGTGGGGGAAAAAAAGAGGGGGATACAAGAAAAAAAAGTGTGTTCTTGGTTTAAACTGAAAGGCATTTTTGAAAATTTTGATGACTCAAAAAAAGATCATTTTGGCATCAAATGAAAATGTTTTGTTTTGAGGGATTTTTTTTAAACGTTGCACATTTAAAAAATAAAATTAAAAGGGAAATTTCAAAACCAAGTCATTTCCAATTGAAAAAAAAAAATCAAAGAAAAGCTTCATTTGGAAAATATCAGAACAAAACATTTTAGATTTTCTGGGATTGTTTTAGGTTTTCCTGACCAACAATTCAGCGAGGTCAACATACGTTGGGGAAGTATGTCCATGTTTCAGTCAAAAAAATGTCACCCAGCTCTATCTAGCAGGTTGAGTGTTATTTTTCAGAGTCGCTGCTCTCCCTTGAGCTGACAGGAGAGAAATAACTCCAGTTACATGCACTCCAGTTAATTCTACAGGGAAAAACATAACCTCGGTGGTAGTTTTTCCACTGTCACCCACTTTACTCCATGCAGAGGTCTCATGTCACATGCGAGGCTTAGCATCATAGAAGAGCAGTGGACATGAGCAAGGGACCTCTTTAGCAAGGCAGTGAGCCATCCTAGCTAGACACAAAGATTGAATACAGAACTGGGAGGCAACAGCAAATGAAAACATTTTTAATCCTCTTGACGTGAAAGCAGATGTTTGTGCGCGGGGGTGGATTCCTCACCAGGATGAGAGAAACTCTGACATCACCAAGCAAATTTTGTATTGTAATCATCATATTTATATTAATTCTTCTATTCGGGGGGGGGAGGGATGCAATATATATCAGCGCTGCTCTTTCATGGCGGTTTTGAGCGCATGCAAAAGCTGCCTAGAAAAATGAAGGGCTGACATCTTGCTCAGCTAACAAGCAGTTCTGGAATTTCATTTGCTTTTTGTGGGGAAAATAGACAGTTCATCAGGAGCTCAAACCAAAAGATTCCTACTGTTGACTTCAGTGGGCTTGGATCAGATCTTAGAGAAATACATTTGAGATCCCAGCAGGGAATACTAGATGTTTCGCACTTGAGATAATTATCTGAAATTGGTGACTGCATCCAACGATAAACATGAATCAACCAGTCCCATAGCATGAGAGGATCAACAAGAGGGACAGCAAAAGATGGGGAAAATACAGCAGAAAGAAAAAAAGCTGCAATAGGAAATGCCATGTATGTTAACACAGCTCTCTGGTTTTCAATGATGCTATTCCAAAGGAAATCTCCCCTCCCCCATTTCATAAGTATGCTATGCCTCTTGTTTCTCATACCGCCATCCTATCACATTTCAGAAAAATAATTAGCAGAGAGGTGTCGTCTCATGGTGCCCCCTCACAGCCTAGGAATGGCTCTGCAGGCACCTGCTTCAGTTTCTTTTTGACTTCCCAGAAATAACCACTCACAGCAGCAAGTTTTTAGAGCAGGATTCCCCCTCTCCTGGGATCCCAATAATTCAGCATAGTTTTGCTCCCAAGCCAAGCCCCCTTTTCATCAGAGTTCCTACTGCTTGCCTTCTAAGACTGGCCAGTGCAAGTTCTGGTCTCCCAGCTCATCAACTCACCCTTTGGATGAAAATCTCACAGCCCTCTTCCTAAGCCCTCAGCAGTGTTTTCTTGGCTTGGCCTTGAAACCTCTTTTTGAGAGCTCCACCCACTCATTGCACTTATCCTTTAATCTTCCCATCTGGATCCAATAACCATTGAGTGGTCCCTGTAAGCTGTGTGCTTGTGCAGCCACTCAGGAGAGAGTCAAATGCTGCCCAGCTGATTAGTAAAGTGCCACAATTAGGGGTTTTTTCCCCTACTTGTGGTGCACACTTGCACATGCCTCAGTGCACCTAAAAACTGTATTCCACACATAGATGGAAAAATTAGAAGGAACATTGCTAATAACCCCAAACCTCTAGCTGGGAGGGTGGGAAGGGAGGCTCACCCCACCCATTCTCCAGGCTCCTGGCCTTTAAAGAATAATAGTCTGAGTTTTTCCCATATTTTCCCCCCTTCTAGACATTAACTGTCCCCCCCCTCCAGGACTAACTTCCTTCCTTAGTGACTGCTTCATTCACTTCCCTGGACACTCATCTACCTTGTGATCTCTAAGGCTATGTCTATGCTGGCGGGTTGTTGCTCCAGAAGTATGCAAATGAGGCTAAGCATGGAATATCACTGAGCCTCATTTGCATATCTAATGAGCCGCCATTTTTGTGGAAGAGGCTCTTGCCCTAGAAGGAGCTGTCTACACTGCCCCTTCTTGCGCAAGAAAAACCCTCTTGCACAATGCCGTTACACTGACTATTTTCAGGAATAACGGCATTGCGCAAGAGGGGTAGTGTAGACAGCTCCTTCTAGCGCAAGAGCCTCTTCCGGAAAAATGGCAGTTCATTAGGTATGCAAATGGGGCTCGGCAATATTCCATGCTTAACCTCATTTGTATACTTCTGGCGCAACAACCCGCCCGTGTAGACATAGCCTAGGGGACTTGCCTTGCAAATGACCTCTAGCCATAAAAGGCAAGTACCCTATTATGGGTATGTGCTTCAGATGTAACAATGATGACTGATGTATAACTGTACCTACCACGGGACACAGGTGTTTGAATTTGCCTGCTCTAGGGCTGTGTGGAGGCAGGAAAAGGGAATAAGGGAATTTGTGTGCAGCCATCTTGGTCTTGTTAACAAGAGAGCAAGAGTCAGGCTAAGTCTGTGGCCTGACAACGCCAGATCTATGATTAGACGCTGTCTTTGCCTCTCGCCTCCATAAGGAGATAAGGATAGAACGCTGACTCTGGCAGGGACCTTGGGATAAGGAGCATCTGGGTGGAACTAAAATAACTGTTAGCCATTGGTGTTTGTAATGGGAAGGAGACTAATTGTTATTGTTATTATATTTAATGGACAGTATAGAAACTGCATCATAATTGCTTGTATTCGAAGATCTGCCTTGGGGGGGCTTCCCCCGCCCCCGTCCGAACCAGTTTTTCCCTTGCTGCAGCTCATAATAAAACTGCCTCTGGCTACTTGTTGCTTACAAACGCAGAGTGAGGACAATGTTTTCTTCCACAGCTGTTATCAGGTTAACTGTTTATCTGGTAAGCAGCACCCTTAATGGATAACCAGTATGCGGGAGCAGTACCCCACCCCTGCCCACAGCCTGCTGCAGGTGGAGGGCTGCTACAGCCCATGGGGCTGGGAACCAGTGCCCCTGAATGGGGGATTGGGAGCAGAAGCTGGCCACTCTGTGTGTGGGGCGGCAGGCTCTTGCTGCTGGCGTCCCTCCCTCCCCCACGCAGGGGATGGGGGCCGCAGTCAGCAGCCCTAAGTGTGGGGCAGGGGCCAGCAGCGGCAGCCCCAAGCATAGAGGGGGCGGGAATGGAAGCTGCCCCCTGCACTTGGGGCTGCCAGATCCTGTTGCCGGCCTCCTGGGTGGTTCCTGGTTCACTTCATTAACTGGGATTTTACATCCCTATTCTGCACCCCACTATTTTTGGGGAGAGGGGGAGCTTCATGTCTTGCACATTCAGGGAGGTCAGACTGTTTATCCTGTGGAAGAAAACAATCCTTTTCACAATCTCTCTCCTGACTCTCTCTACGTGAGAACTCCAGATTCCTAACCTGGGAAGTTTTCTGGATTCATTATTTTAAAAAGTTTGTTTGTGTCTGCCTAGCAATGAGGTCCCTTCCTTCAGCCGCATTGTCTTCAGTAGCATTAAAACATACTTGGCTAGACACAAAGCTCACCTGTTGATTTGAAGGGACCAGAGAGATTCCAATGTCAAGTAGAATCTAAAAGATCAAAGTAATGAAAGTCTATAGGGGCTTTGTGATGGGGTATGTGATGGGGTCTACACCCCACACTGGTATAGAAATAGTTAATAGGAGCCAGAGAACAATTAGCGTCCCCAGTAGCACCTGAAAGATGGGCCAGCCCTGATAAAGGCTCAGTCCCCGTAGGCATAGGATAACTAATAAAGGCCGTAGAGACTCTGGGTTGGGATCAGAGTGAGATATGCTCTTCTGACAGCTTTGGTAAGAGATACACTAGAGCTGCGGGTTCAGAAACAGAGAGTTGGACCTACAGGGAGGAATCCTCTAGCAGGCCTCACTCTGTGGTCTGCAGAAAAGGGATATAAAATCTCATTTCATTGGTTAAATGTAATCTTTAACTGATTCAAGGGGAGGGTTAGCTGTAGTGACACTCCCTCCCTCCCTCCCCTCCCCCCCACCCCTTCAGGCAAACAGGGCCTGCTCAGGCTGGAGCAGCTCTCCATCTGTGGCTCCAGCCCCCACCGATTAACCAGAAATAAGTCGCATCCGTTAAGGGTGCTGCTAACTGGTGAACCCTTCACATCCCTACTGCAGAGAGTGGGAAGGGGCGAAGGGCCCGTGAAAGAGTGAGCCAGCCCGGGACTGGAGAACGGGGCCTAGAAACAGGCTAAGGTAAGCGGTCGTCTTGGAAAACAGAAAAGGAGGCTGAGGGTGCAGACTGCCCTTAGTTGTGTGTTCCAAGGTCTGTACGGCTGGTACCCAAAGTACCGGGAAAGTCTGTGAAGGGTCTAAGGACCACTGGGCCAGACTTGGGCTGCAGATCTGGGGTAAGGCCATTGGACCAGGGTTTGTGGGACTCTGTTGACCCTGAAAGGGTGGAACTGAACGTGACTTGGCTAGAGAGTCCAGTATTGAGAAGAGGCCGACCCTGGCAGGCAGCAGTGGCTGGTGACAGAGGAGAGCCTGCTATGCTATGCTCCACTATGACGGGGATGTGGGTTGGTGAGTCACTCTCATGCAAGGGAAATGAAATGGCATTTTTAATATTGCTTGTTTTTGCAGTGTGCCACTTCTGTAGGAAACATGCTAGATTGGATGTGTGTGGGGCGGAGGGGGGCGTTAATCCTACATTGTATTTTAATGTTACTTGACCTCTTCCCCTCCAAATCTTTCACTATTCCCTGCCTCCCTCTCCCTCCCCCCCCCCCAAAAAGGGGGGTCTTCAGATCCTAGGGGAACCTTCAGAGGCCTAGAAATCTCCTGGTAGAGATTCTGTACCTCAGCACTGGTCCCAGGGCCCGAGCAGCATGATGCCCTGGCTTACCTTGGCAAGGCACCTCCCCATTTGCTGCTTAGTGCCTTGCACCTGCGACAAGTAAAGGCCAAAATGACTAATATGGGACTGATTTCAGTGGACCTCTTTCCATTAATATCAGGGGGCTGAGGATCAGGCTCGTGGTTGAAAAATGCCACTGCAGACAGTGGTAGGTCTGAATGTAACTGGTGGACAGAATGGAAATATTAAGATTTTGTATCTTTCCCCAACTGTTAGAGAAGATCCTTAGGGCCGAGAGTGCTACCGCACTGTTTGCATAATGCCTAGCACAATCTTCGTTGGGTCCTTGGCCTCACCATAATAAATATGAAGCAAAATACAGGACTATATAGCACTTTAAAGACTAACAAGATGGTTTATTAGGTGATGAGCTTTCGTGGGCCAGACCCACTTCCTCAGATCAAATAGTGGAAGAAAATAGTCACAACCATATATACCAAAGGATACAATTAAAAAAAATGAACACATATGAAAAGGACAAATCACATTTCAGAACAGGAGAGGGATGCAGGGG